CACACAGGCGTCCATACCGCAGTTCGCGCGAATGCAGATTCAGATGCCGGCGGGACCGAGTCGAGCTCCCCGCCTCGCCGCCTCGATCAGATCCGACGCAGATCGCGACGCGACGCGGGGCGGGGCGGGCCCGTCATCATCATCATGGACATACATTCGTACACCGACTCGAGCTCCGCCTCGCCGTCAGCTCCGTCGATGCCTTTGCCCCCTCGCTCTATCACGTCCGAAGCAATAGGGAGAGCGAGATGGACTAGAGGAGCGTAGATCTATGCGATGTCGTATAATAATACTGACGTGACGCGGTGGGCACGGGCCCGCATGGCATAATTTACTCTATCTCCCGCGGCCGTGGATGACATGGACGACACGTTGCTCAGCTCCTCGGATGTGGATATCCAGACAACCCTGCGTATGCTGTCCTCGATCCTCGTATATCCGGGGCTGGAGGAACAGCCTACTGCTAGAGAACAGCCTGAGAACAGGTATGCACCGCCCCCCAAGTCAGTTGCGAGTCCGATCGCTCATCGCCTCGGCTAGGATTAGCTCTACTTAAGCGTGCGCGAGGGTGAGGATCGCGCAGTTCACCTGGTGCTGCTGCTGTGTCCGAACCCCACGTCTTCTGCACGTCTGCTTCGTCCTCGAGGACTGGGGGTGCCTGCTCTGCGTGCCCGGTGCTTCCACGGTGCTTCGTGGGTGGTGTCCTTGGGAGAAGCGGTGCCGCCGCGCTTGCTTGCTCGCTTGCTTGTTGCGTCCACCTCGGCTCGTAGGACCGTTCTTGATGCTGTCTGGGCTCTGCTGACGGATCTCCGCGGTAGTATTCGAGGCTTGCTCGGTTCCTCTGCTCTCAGAAGGCATCGTTTTGCGGCGGATGGCTGCCTTGGAAGTTTGTACGTTCCATGACTGCCTTCATGGATCTAATCGAACGCGATGCCCGCCGGCACATCCTCATCTCGGCCACTATTCGCAACAATACACAGTCGACCAAGGTGCATCATCCCGGTGACAGTTGTCGTTCTACGGTCTCGCTACCCTGATGCCACGGCTTCGAACAAGCTGTTTCCGGAAATCATCAGCATCCCATCCTTCGCTCGGTCGACGCCATCGCAGCTTCCAAGCAGGCACCGTTCAGCAGCACGCGAGGATACCCATCTTGCCCTCAGTACCTGACGCAAGGCTCGTACGTCGAGCTACGGCGACCACATCTCTCGGCGTCAACAATGCGAATCTCTCCATTCAATTCTGGTGGCAGCCTCGGGTTCCTGGACCACCACGAGGCACACACAATAACCACGAGTCTGCACGTCGGACGCGCATATTGCCCTTGCTCCTCGTGGATCGCGTTCATACTTCGCCCTTCGTGTGCTTCTCCACCACGCGGCTCGCGAGCCCATTTGCGCCCACTTGACACTCAGCAACTCCATCATGGCTGAGGCCCGCAACTTGGTCACCTTCCGATGCGCACCGGGCCCGCTCATCACCTACATCCCGAGTTTCCGCTGCATACCTCGTCGAGTCGGCCGCATGACCTCTGACAGTGTCGCGTAACCAACATTGCGCAAGGGGACGTCGCATTCCTCGACAGCCTCCGATGCGACACACCTCGTCGTGGCCGCCGGCAACTCGCACCCTGGCCAGCGTGGCGATCACGATGCCTTCTAGCTCGAACGCGTTTCACGGCATTGCTACCGGGCGACGAATCGGATGGTTGCCCGCCGCCCTCGATGGCGTCGCAACCGACCTCGACGTTCGGTTCAAAGGGTCTATCCGGGCTGATTGGGAGCGGTGCTGCGCGGATGAGGCCGACCGCGGCCGACGATTCCGTGTTGACGGGGGTGGCAGATCGCGACTCCATCTGCCAGCAGGCCTCCTTTCCGTCGGTCTGCCAGCCGCGCTTGAGGGGGTCACGGATGGAGGTGATGATGATGCGGATATCTACTAGTCTCCCCTAGGCAGACGCTCCGAATGTGCTCTGTGACGGGGGGAGGGACGAGCACAACGGACGTCTGCTTCATAATACCCCAGCGATACCGTAGGTCGACGAATGGGCCCAAAATGGGCATCCGAATCAGCAGAGTTGACAATGCCGAGTGATGGCAGGGATGCCGAGTGGCTGAAAGTCACTTCGTCCACCTTCGTACTGGCCCAAACTGCCTACAGTCCGTGGTTGTTCACCTCGGATGGTCCTTCTGCACGCATGTCGGGTACACCATTGCCTACAGACATTTAGGGAGAGTTTCTACGTTACCGCTGAGCTCGTCTGACACTCCTAGCATGTCGCAATGACGAGAATATGTCGTGGACAGGAGAAGCGACACACCTATATCCACAGAATGTATTTCGGAGCAGCCCTTCTTCTCCCGGCTACCTACCATGCCCTCCGGTAGTCATTTCGTTCCTCAATTGAATGCATTAGTGGCATGCAAATGTCATAACTTGTTGAGCAAATGCAACACAGCACGAACGAGTGGCAGGCGCTTAGATCTTCACGGACGTCGGAGATCAAATGTGCTGATGCGGGCGGTGATCTTTCGACCTACGGTATGGTGGGGGCATTATGAAGCAGACTAGATATCTACGGCACCCCGAGTACTGGCAGGCGGCTGTCAGCGGTTGACGCCACGAAGCTTATTCTGGCTCTCCGATCCCGACCCTGCCTGCCGCGCTGCGTCCGGTCGTTGTCCCCCGGGCACTCCGGCATGGATATGGCGCCTGGACGTCCGTTGGCAGCAGCTTGATGGCTTCGGGAGCCCTTCCTACATTCGCCTGCCGTCAGCTTGGCGTCCTCTGTCAGTTCCGAGACGCAGATCACCGTCATCCGCTGCGATCGCTCTTCGGTCCCCCTGTAGGGCGCTCCCTCGTTCGGGAAGAGCGCGGGGTCCGAACTCAGGCACGTCGCCTATTCAATAATGGCCGCAGGAGGCACCGAAGACGCAAACTAGGCCGAGGCATGTGCGTCCGAGCCGCCACAGAAGGTGTGCCTGAGGCCAGACCACAATCTGCTGTCCGCAGAGCGCTCGAAGATCGAGAACTCCGGCGCGCACGGCTCCATGTACCAGCCTTTGCCCGCCTCCGTGCTTGAAGCTCAGTGCGTATTACTCTATCGCCGCCTTCTATGGGAATCCCCGATTGTGCGCAGAGACCACATTAATACAAACAAGCTACACCAAGTCACCGCCAACTTGAAGCGATGCAAGTTCTCCGCGGATCCAACCCAGGCGCATTCTTTCTCTCAGCCCCTGTCAAACCTCTGTCTGGCATCCTCGAACGCACTCGTCCCTGGTCCGGACGCCCAAGGACCACGAGAAGTCATCGGATACCTTGTTCCGACCCGCCACGGGGGACGATCGTCAGCGCTCAGAGAGACGAATTTTAGCAATCGGGAACATCGCCAACGTAGGACAAACGCCTTCGGACGACGTACTACTACATATCGGCCAAAGCTGGCCTGGCGATGACCCACCCCTGGGTGTTCAGCTTCTCCGCCCCTGACGCTTCTCGCTTGAATAGGCTTCTACGCTGTGTCGAGCCGTTCATTGCACGAGACAGGCCCATGAATCTGGGGCAACTCGATGGCATCCGCGGGCTTCCGCTTTGCATAAGATCACTTCGTTCCATGCAGCTGCATGACATGAGCCTGTTGCAGCCGTGGTGTCTATTTAAGGCGCTCTTGACCACCCCAGTCATAATTTAAGGCCGCGGCATAACCAGCGGCCCTCCGGTCATCCGGATATTGCGTCCGTACTATTCAAGCCTCGAAGACGCGGAATCAGCCTCCGAAGATGCCCTCCCGAGGAACGCCAGCAAGCTCTCGACAGCGGTGTATGTAGCTCTGACATTCGTCTAGTTGAACAACCACGACCACACTCCGCCTGGAACGTCTGCGTCCTGCCGTATTACGGACATTCGGCCGCTTGAGTGGTGAGCCATCAAGTGTTGGATGATATACATGCTCTCGAATTTGATTTAGTCGGTCTGTGAGCAACCGGAACACGGTGTCGAAGAGCGAACGAAGCCCTGAAATCGCCATCCATCGCGCCCGGATGAGACCGATTTGTGCCAATTACTAAGTCGCATCAAGGTGTCGCTCGCGTACCCTTCACTACACGCATCCTATCTCTGCACGAAGCCCACACGACCGTCAGAGTACATCTCCGGGGATAGAGAATCTGCAGCATCGTGGTGCGCACCATCATTGCATCGTGAGCTGGCGGGACTCTCGGGCGCGAGTCACTGGCTCATGATCACTGGCCGTTCAAGTTGGGAAACAGCTCTCCACACAAACCTTTTGAAATCCCCAAGCTCGAAGCTCACATGAGACATCATCCGGCGCAGAAATCGACCTCACACATTGCGCCTCGCCCAGACACGTCGCGTATCAAAAATCATGCATCACCTCCCCAGCATTGAAGCATTGTCTAGTACTGGTCTCGGCCGCAACCTGCCAACGCCGGCGTTGGTGCTTGTGGGCGCTGGTTTCCAGCCAGGTGCGTCGCGCCACGCTTTGATGGGTCCTGCAACACCGCCGTCTTCATAAAGGCACGAAACTATCGCTGATGGGCATGGGGACCGCGGCGATGACTCCGTTGACTGGCGCAGCACCTGATGCGCCCGCCATCAAGATGCAAATGAGCAGTACTACTGCGGGCTTCAATGACTGTCGGAGGCTTGTGATACCTTATGGTTTCTGCTGCGCTCACAGCCCGATGCTTCACTGTCGTGGGCCGTTATACCATTCGTACACTCCGGCTCGGGGTGTACACTAATGACTACTAATTCTTGGTCGGCTGCGATGCTGTACTAAACGAGGTCAAAGGGACAAACACTATCTTGCCCGCACGAGAAGCACAGGAGTATCCCAGCACTGCCTGGAGTAGCATACGCCTCAGGCAGGTCGTTAGAACATGCTCGCTAAGTTGCAACGTTTATTCGGTGCATGCACTCCGACGACGCAGCAATCGAAGCAGCTACATACCTATAAGCCCAGCACCTGATAACAAGCCATCGTGGCGCAATGGTAGCGCATCACCTTCCTATTCGGTCCGCAAGGGCATAGGGAGCGTCAGGTGGGGGTTGCGGGTTCGATCCCCGTCGGTGGTAGCTGGTTGCAATTTTCCTCCCTTTTTCCTTCCGACCTCTCACAGTATCGTATCGCCCTATGGTTCTGTTCCCGATGCTGTTACTGTAGCGCGACGTGCCCGCCCAGTTTTCCTGCTCATGCTATGATTGCAGTACAGCGTGCACAGCTCTTTCCGAATGACTGAAGCCAAGACCGCACGACGTCATTAGCAGATCAGTAATCATTCTGCTAGTAGTACGCGCCTATATGAGATGCGCTCATGCCTCTCTTTCCTGTTCACCACCTCTACCGCCGAATGTCTGCTGCAGTCCCCATCGTACCCATCGTGCGCCCGACGCCCGAACGTGCTGCAGAGCTGAAGGAGGCTCTTGCGGAGATCCGACAACGCGTCGAGACCGCTAGTGCCACAGCCGCATCTCGTACAGGAAAGCCCGTCCTAGTCGCAGTGTCCAAGTACAAGCCCGCCGCGGACGTCCTCGCATGCTACGAAGCGGGCCAACGCGAATTTGGGGAGAACTACGTCCAGGAGCTCGTGGACAAGGCTGCACAAGTGCGTGTATCCGCACATCGCAAACGGAAGTGGTCATGTACTCACGGCGACCATGTCCCATCCAGCTGCCGCAGGACATCCGATGGCACTTCATCGGTACCCTCCAATCCAACAAGGCTAAGATCCTAGCCTGTGCGTATCCATCGCATGTCCGGCCAGCATGACATCGCTTAACTGACCGCAGGACAGCCATCCCGAACCTCTACGCCATCCAGACCGTCACCTCCATCAAAGGCGCCTCTGCGCTGAACAAGGCGCTCCCCTCCGACCGCCCCGTCCCGCTCAACATCCTCCTCCAAGTCAACACCTCGGGCGAAGACTCCAAGTCCGGCGTCCCCCCGCTCACCGCCGGCTCCCCGCCCGTCCCCCTGCCCGCGGACGCGCCCGAGGTCGACTCCGCCGAGCTCCTCCAGGTCGCGCGGTACGTCGTCGCCGAGTGCCCGCGCCTCCGCCTGCAGGGCCTCATGACGATCGGCTCGCTCGCCGAGTCGCTCGCGGCGGCGGAGAAGCCGAACGAGGACTTTGCGCGCCTCGTGGCGACGCGCGACGTCCTCCAGGCCGCGCTCGCCCGCGCGGGCTTCCCGCCGGAGAGCGGCAAGTGGGGCGAGGACGGGCGGTTGCTGCTGAGCATGGGCATGTCGAGCGACTTTGAGGCTGCGCTCGCCGCGGGCAGCGATATCGTCAGAGTCGGCACGGGTATCTTCGGCGCGCGACCGAAGAAGGAAGAAGTCAAGGCGCATTGAAGGTCTGCTTCCAGCCACGTTCTACCAGACGGCTCTTGTCGAAACTCACTCGACTCCAGTCGGGCGACCTAATCGGAAAGCTGCGATGCCGCATATCTGATATGCACATACATATATGGTACAGCGTACGTATACTATACAGGACCTCCCGCCGGAAAGTCCATGCTCCAAACAGACAAGGTGTATCGTAAGGCATATGTAGGGTAACCAGCAGTGCAAGTTCGAAGAGGCACCGCACACGTTCATCCACAGCCAACGTTGCAGATACAGCGGTTATAGGCGCTACCGCTTCTCCTTGACGTAGAAGTGCAGCACCAGGTAGCTCAGGACCGTGAACGTTCCGAAGAAGATACCCAGCAGGCCGATATTGGGCCACCAGAACGACTGTTAAGGGGTCGTCAGCAACCGTCCTTGAACACCGATAAGATGCAGGCGCTTACCTCCGCGCGGAGACCGAAGGTGGACAGGATCGCAGCAGCGGGCACGTCGATGTTGACGCCGTACTTCTCTTCGTGCAGCTGGAGGTACCGCAGCTCGTTCACCGCGAGCGCCTCGAACGCGGCGTGGAAGAACGACACCGTGTGCAGCCATTGGAACGCCTTGGGCACCGACTTGCGGTTGATGAGCAGACCGGTGAACAGCAGGCTGCAGCGGCAGGTCAGCATACAAACACGAATCATCACGGCAAGCGAGCGCGTACTTGAAGAGCATGATCAACGTCCCGACGAGCGACGAAACGCTGGTGCTCGCGAATGCGATCGAGAGCAGGAGGATGACGCTCGCGGTCGTGAGGTTGAACAGCACGAGCGTGAGCATGAACTTCCAGAACGTCGACACCTCGGGTACGAGCCCGATCCAGCCATAGATGATGCCGCCGAAGACGAGCGGAGGAACGACGCGGAGAGGGAGGATGTCGAACAGGATCTGATGGGCACAGTTCAGCGAACGCATCGTGACAGAGAAACGCACAAAGTACCTTCGAAGCGAAGTACGTGAATGATGAGTAGTACCCGTTTGCGCTATACCAGAATGAGTGAGCCATCTCGGTAATGAGAGGATAATGTACGTACCGCTCGCGCATGAACAAAATCCGCTCGTTGGCGAACAGATTCAGACTGGACAGACAGGAGAACCCGAACAGGGCGAGCGTGAAGAAGAAAATGCCTAGTCGGTTCTGGAAGCCCGCGATATCGTCCGTGATGTTCTGGAAGAAGAACCCGCAGATTACTTCATGCACGAGCCATCAGCACCACACCCAACATGAACGAGACAACGACGGAAGGAGCGTACCAGCGACGACAATCGCCGAGATGTAGTGCGCAGCCAATAACGCGGGGTCGCGGTACAGGTTTTTGAACGCGCGTCCGCTGAGGATACGGAACTGCGTGCCCCAACTGGCCCGCTTCCTACCACGGGTGATGTTGCTCTCTACTGCGACGTCCGGGAGCTCCGCCGTCCCATGCCCGTTCCCGTTCCCATTGCCCTGCGCAGCCGGAGTACTCGCAACTTCCTCGATCTCCGCGCTCAATGCGCTCGCGATCTCACTGCGCTTGTACGCGTCGATGAGCTCGGCGAGCTTCGGCGGGACGGGCCCGTCCCGCACGCCACTGGACGGCTTGATCGCCTCGAGGAGGCGCGTCGTCTGCCGGCGGATGTACGCGGTGGAGGAGTGGATGGAGCCCGCGCGTGTCGTGGACTCGGTCGTCCCTTCATCAGCACCACCTGCAGCGTGAGGCACGCGGTACGCCGAGTGCAAGGAAATGGACGACGAACGGTCTCGAGCGAACGCGCGCTCTTCGTCCCGGATGTTCGAGTCCTCGTCGTCTGCGGGATGGGCCGCTTCGGCGGGCGGGCTGTCGAGAGAGTGTGGCTCCATGCCGGCTTGCATCGTCAGATCGACTACGAAGTGCGCGTGAGTATCGTCGTTGGTCGGGACATGCACGAGAGACATACTCAAGAAGTCCGCAACGTTGAAGCCCAAAGGGCATGGGTGGCCGATCTCCGCGAGGTAGTCCGTGACCTTGTCAGCCTCGCCAGAGTAGATGAGCTTGCCCTGGGCGAGCACAATGAGTTGGTCAAACAGCGACACAATGTTGCTACGGGGCTGGTGAATTGTGAACACGACAGTACGGTTGTAGTCACGGGCGAGGGAGACGAGGCTGTCAACGACGCTCAGTGCATTGTACGCATCGAGACCTGGTGCCGAAGTCAGTAAGCGGCACCAATGTTCGAACGATGGTATGGCGTACCGCTGGTAGGCTCGTCCAAGAAGAGAATCGAAGGACTGGTGACCAGCTCACACGCGATCGACACCCGACGCTTCTCACCACCAGAGATGGATCGCCGACCTGCCAAAGCTTGTCATTCACAGCCCAAGATCACCGACGAAGTGTCACTCACCAGTATCGCCAATACGCGAGTCCTTGATACCCAGGATACCCAACTCGTTCATCGTCTCCAGCGTCCGGTACTTCTTCGCTTCGAGGCTCATCTCCCTGGGCAATCGGAGCAGCGCCGAATATAGCACAGTCTCGTACACCGTGAGCGTGCTCATCAGCGTGTCTTCCTGGTCGACGAAGCCCATGACCTTCTTGAAGTCCGCGTCCGCGATCTCGCGCCCGTTCACGAGCGTCGTCCCGCTCACGCTGCCTTTCTTGTTCTTCCTGGCCAGGATGTCGAGGAACGTCGACTTGCCCGCGCCCGACGCGCCCATGATCGCGAGCAGCTGCCCGGGTTTGGCACTGCCGGAGATATTGTCCAGGATCGTGCGTCCGCCGAGCGAATAGGAGATGTTGGAGAAGTGAAGCGATGCGGGGACGTGGTCCGTCATGAGCTTCGCGGACTCGTTATCGGGGAGGCGGATCGTGCCGAAGTCGCTGGAACGCGCCCGACCGGCATACCAGAGGACTGTATCGGAGAGTTAGGCGGTGTATGCTGACGATCTGTCTGCGGAGGAACTCACTCGCAGAAACCAGGATCACGATGAGGCCGGCGCCTGCGATGCTCAGCGCGACGAACGCAGTGTTGTCTGGTTTAGGCGGCGGCTGCACCCGAATATCAGCCCGCTTTTGCGGACAAGACCACGTATGCACTCACTTCATAACCGGGGACTTGCGAGTAATGCAGGCATTCGCCGCCCTCGCACTGAAGGGTGATGTAGCTGTCGCCGAAGAAGGTCATGATGAGCTCGTTCATGCCCGGCTCCTCGAATTTGCACCCTTGGCCAGTGGTGCAGCTGAAGGATGCAGGTCCCTTGATCTGCTCCTTGAGGAAGTCCGTGATGTCTACGCAGGACTTATCAGCCGGAGTCACGCGACAGTAGTACTTTCAGGCTTACCCAGACTGCCATCCTCGCCGCAGATGAACCTCCCAGGCACACACTTGCACTCGAGCGTCTCGCAATCGTAGTAGGTAGAGTTCTTGTCGTAGCTGTGCTGCGCCCGAGAGTTGCACTGACGCAGCTGGCAGTAGAAGGACTCCACTTGGGCCGTCCAGAACTGGAACTGGCACGTCTTGTCATCGCTGTCGCAACCGAAGGTCACTTGTGGCGGCCTGTCAGGTAGCATATCGAGAATCTTGCGGTCTGCAAGGCTTCGTTTGAGCTACCAGACAACAGTGTCTGTTCGGAAACATACTGGTGACATTGCACATCTGGTGATTCTGGAAGACCGTTTCGCCCCCCTTGTAGCAGGTCATGTTCCCGATTCTATCATCATCATCGACGGGA